GAGTCATGAAATGACGTGAGTGAATGTCAAAGCCCAGAGATGACCCATTTTTGACAAGGCCGAAGACTTGGACAAACAAATAAAATGAAAATGCATAAACAAATGGTTGTGCGCGCTGGCTGCCTACGTATCCCTTTCCAAGGAATCAAACCAGCGTAGTTCAGGGGCAAGATGCAAAATGATACACAATGATATAACAAAACAATGCAATGAAATGTAGTTCAAATGAGATAATCAAACCACAAGCAGTGCAAAACCACACAAATACGCCTATTCTAGTGACATTCTGTATGTGATGCATTAGCCATTTTAACGTGAACTGGGATCATTCATGATTACTAACTAGTTTCTTGTTTTGGCTCGGAGTACACTGTGAGTGTTTATGCTTTAGCATCTTGCATGTATGTGAATATTAACATGATAGCATGCTTGCCATGTGGCTATGTGCTTATGTGATATAACTGCCTGAATGCCTGTGGGTGAAGGTTGAGTTACTTAAATTGGAACAACACATTGAATATGAGTTTTAAGCCCACCCGAGGGTGGCAAAACCTGCATTTTAGCCTACTTACGAGTAGCAAACTATTTTAAAAAACAAGCATGCAATGTTTTGTTCCAAATTAGGCGATTTGGTCTATACTTGTTTGCTGTGCGCATAACATAGTAATTCTAGGCTAATAACCGGAATAGGAACACATAATGCTTTCAAAACAAGATATCACGGTTAGTAGAGGCCGATCTTTGATCGGGCGAGAGGGGGTGCTCATAGCTGACCTTCCCCAATTGTACCCAAGTTCCCGAGCCGAGGCAACTTTGGTGATGACGGACACGTGGCCTTTGGCACCGAGTCAGGGTTTCCTAAATTTTCCAAAATAAAATATTTAGGTGGCGACTCTGTATCTGGCAAAGCAGTCCATGTTTGGCACTTCTTTTCTAAAAATTTGTTTTCCAAAACGATTTGCTGAATTTGGACTCTTTGGTTCAGATTAAGAACCGTGACAATTCGAGAGTCCGAACTGTAGTGAGCCCAATAACGAACAGAACAGGACTCATCCTCCCGGGGCGTTCGGGGACGTCTACACCGGCCAGTAATCCAAGATTACCACAAGCCTTCCTGTACAAAACGTAAATAATTGGGGCTAGCGGAAGCAAAGACAAAATGCCATAAGTCCAAAGAGCTGTGCATATGTATGAACAAATATTTACATGCCAAAAATGTTAATTTACCCACTTACATTACATAACGTATAACGAAATAACAAATACAAAACATACGCACGTGCCACAAGTGTACAACAAAAACAAGGCCCAGCTCGGAGGCACACAAAACACCTGATAGGCTTCCAAAACGGCGGCTCGGTTCATGACTCCGCCTAGGCTTGACTCCCAGAACGCTCACTTATAATACATATATATACAAACAGTGAGCTAAAACCCAGTGAATAACATTAAAGTAAAGAGGTAGTGAACGAATTCCATATATAAGGTATTCATAAAATAAATCATTCATAAACATTCATATCAGAACATAACATAATGGTACATCTCACAGGATACAACATATATCGTCTTCCGACTAGAGAATCGGTTCCGGTTACCGATTAACACATATCACCACAATGAAGTGGCTAACGAGA